TTAGAGGTTATAAAGAACCTCTGCAGAGGCTAGTTCTTTCGTTTATTAAAATAAATGCTTCGCTTTTTATACACTTTGATCAATATGAAAGAGAACACGCTCTAGAACCTTCTATAACATCAGAGCACCAACTATCATGTTAGCCTCTTGTTAATATGCACAATGCATCACTCGGGGGGCTTTAACAATCACAATACTACAGTTAGGGATTTTTCAAATTTGTGTGGCTTTAGACGATACTTATATATAGTAAAAAAGAAAAGCCTACAAGGTTTTGCAACATTTTATATTGATTATATATATAGAAAAGAACAATCTGTTCAGTCTTTCATCATTGCTAATTTCTTAAAATGTTAATACAGTATTACCGAACGAATGTCCGTCAGAAATATTTGATAACCTTAAGGATGATTATCCAAGCTTATTTTCATGCCTTCTGTAAATCTTCAATGGTGTAGAATTATTGTACCAATATTATGGAGTGAACCAACCGCTCATTTTGACGATAGAAAACTTATAAGAATGTATCTTTTAGCGTTAAATGCTGAAGAACAAGCACTATTAATCCCCTTTAAAATTATTATTCCAAACGATCCAAAGCCGTTATTTGAGTATCCAAGTTATATTGTATCAGTTGGCATTTGTTTGTGCAGTGGAGTCAGAAATTGGCTTGTTGAAGAATGTAACATGAGTAGATCTTGTAATAGATCTTTGGAATTTATTTTTTATGACATTAAATATTATTTAATTACAATGTTTCCACGAACAAGTAAAAAGCATAAATATTTAAATATCATTTAAATCATTTTGTTTCCAAGGAAATAAAAATTAAGAACATGATCAAAAACACTAGCTTGACTTTTTTAGATCTTTCATTTGGTGGACTTGATTTCGAGATGGAGAAACACTAGCAGAAGCTCTTTATAATAATGTTACACTAACTTCATTGGCGATTGGTAGTAATAATATTGAATTTAAAGGAGCAAAAGCAATAGCAAAAGCTCTTTATAATAACATTACTCTAACTTCATTGGTAATAATATTGAATTTAAAGGATAAAAAGCAATGGCAAAAGCTCTTTGTAAGAACATTACTTTAACTGGGTCGGACCAACCGGACTCTTTAACTTCCTTATTTTTGAACCCGGGTTTTTTCAAAATACATAATAGTGATGTGCGCGGGGTGTTATCGTTATTTGAATCCACATATCTATTTTTAAGGGGGGCGCGATTTTCGAAATAACGCACACGTCTGCTATTTCGAGAATTTATGGTAATAACATTTTTAAATTATTGTAATAAACATATGAAATGCACAATATAAATAATTATTTTTATTTTGAGTTCAAGCTATTTAGCCAAAACTCCATTATCAGCCAAAATTTCTTGTATTCAACAATACTTGATCAAATTGATTCGAAAACTTAATGATTAAGATAACGGAATGATTTAATTATTAAAAAATTTTAAATCAACATAACAAAATTATTATAATCTTTGTTTAGAAAATTTTCTAATCAAAATTATAGAATTACATATCAATATGCTACTTTAAATATGATAACATTTTACATCTAATTTAATTTCAATTGAAATCAATTCAGATAAATTTATTGCAGATGGAACCACCATAGATTTATCAATTTTGCAATCATCAAGCTTAATTGTCCATTGACTAAATGGCGTTGGGATAACATATATATCTGATTCAAATGACACATTTTGTAATATTTTTTTATCTGATACTCTATACCTAAACCCTTGACCTTTTACAGACTCTAACCTAAAATTATAAGGTTTCCCTTTATATCTATCACTAAACATATTTGTGTTGCTAATATAAAGAGAGATTTCATCATCTTTAGAACCAACACCATTCAAAAATACTCCGAAATTAACAAGTCGAACACGCTCAAACCGCCGAAATTCTTCGTCATCTAATGGAATCTTGTAGGTAATAAATTTATCTCTCTTAAATTTTTTGGTATAATTTGCAAGAAGACAAATTGTATGCTCCGAATTTTGAGGTGGACCTCCAAATTCATGGTATTTGCTTTCTAATTCTTGACGAATTTTAATATTGTCTTCTATGTGTTTTGCGGTAGTTTTTTTAGCAGAAAGCATAACTTTGGATTCAGAAAGAGACCAATATTTGTATGCACATCTATAATTTTCTAGATATGTTAGCATCCAACATTTAATATTAATAAAGCACTCCAGTAGTGAAAATGCGCATTCGTCACATTTATCGTTTTTCAACTTATAATCTTCAATCCTCTTATTGAGTCTCTCTTCTTTTCTTTTAAACATTTTTACTTGCAATTTAATTCGTGAATATTCTTTATAACTTTTTTCTTTCTCATTATTGGCTTTAATGTATGCGTTAATATAATTAAATAAATTTGTTAATGAATCTTTATAGTCAGTTGCGCCTTCAATTCCTTCCTCAATAGGCTAACATTAAATATATAAAAAATTATAAGATTCTGTTTATCAGAATATTATATATACATTAATGATTATATACTTACATAATTAAGTAACTTCATCATAACATCTTCAGTTGATTTCCATTCGACCTTCATTTTTATTCCTTTACGATCTTCTTCTTTAAGGCTATCAAATTATCAAAATTTATTAAATGAATTTTTCAGTAATCTTAGTTACGGATTAACTTACATTCGTGCAAGTCCATCTACATTCAGAGAACTTATTTTTTCTTGCTCTGTCGTCACATTATTATTCAGACCTTCAGCGATATTATAATTGGTTTGTAAATTTTCGTCAATTTGTTTAATTTCTTCAATGTTTTCACTTATATCTTTGTTATCATTAACAAATTCTTTCACTTTATCAGCAGCATTTAGAGCGTCTTGAACCGAAATAGATGTCTTTTCTATAGTTTCAATAATGTTGACTATACCATCAGGTCTGATAATAATCGTACCAACACGTACGGCTAAATTAATAACTGCTTTTAACATTTCTATTTGTGCATCACGGATTTTTTGTAGCTTCCATTTTTCAATTCCGTCTTTAAAATACTCGCATGCGTTGTTCACTTCATTCTTTTTGTCCTGCCATTAATAAAATATAAGTTTATTAACTTTTTTAATATAATTTTCATCAGAATATGACAATACATAATAATATAATAATATCTATCGCTCAAAATTTTAATTATCTTGAGTTCATAAAATATATATATTCAACATACTGTTAACTCGTTTTCCATTTTTTCCAACAATTTAGATGCAGAAACATGACGTTGATATTCAATCTTTTCTAAATGTTCGTACAAAGCAGTTTTATCGTTAGAATTTTCTAGTAACAATTCAGATTCTGTTCTCTTTTCGTCAATTTCATCTTTTTTCTTTAGAACTTGCGTATATTTGTTTTCATAAAATTTTACATATTTCATAAATTCATCAACTCCCGTTTTATAAAATTGTTTATCTAATAATGGAATAAATGAAATTTCATTTTTCCTTCTTTCTTCATAAGTATCCAATTGTACTAGCATCGAAAGCGCTTTATGATATAATTCTGAAATCGTTTGATATGATTCCTCTTCTTCAGATATTCCAGATTGTAATTCAGTTATTTTGTATATCCAAGAAAGAATTGATCGTGTAATGGTAGGTTCATCATAAAATAAGATATTTGCGATAAGTAAAGAGTATCGTAAAAGTTTAAGGAATAAATAATTTTTAAGAATAACTTTATCAAATATATATAAATCTTTATATTCGGGGCTCTTGTCACTGAATATATTCAGTGATTTTCCAACGTTTTTATTATCTTTTGAATCATTGATATCGAATTTAAATGTATTAACATTATTATTTAGTTGATTTTTTGCGACAATTTCAAGTTTAGATGTCATTTCTATAGCATATATTATTATTCGGAAAGATTTGTTGTAATTAATAATTAGTTGACATTTCGGTCCAATTTCAATTCGTCTCGCTACTATCAAAATAGCGCCACCGCCATTCAAAGATGTAATTTCTAAAGTATTTGCGAGTTGAACTACATCAGCATAAATTCGTAAGATTCGAGTTTTAGGTGTTATGTTAAGATTTGAAAAATGTTCGTAAAGGTCGAAGAATAAATTACAACCGGAGATCTTTATTGAAAAAAAAGGTTAACATAAGAAGAATGAAAATTTTCATATTAAAAATTTCATTTTAAATTAATATTAAAAGC